GCGCCCCTCTGCGGCCAGACGCCGCCTCACCGCAACACAACCCCCGCTGCTCGCTCCACTGAATAAATAAATCCGCGTTGTGCAGTAGATTTAAGGTTATTTTATCTTTTTTTATCAAACGACTGTATCTATTTTTAATTTTTTTTTTGCGTTTGTTTACATTTTATTGGAAATGAAATTCCTGTAACTACGTGTTTGCTTTAGATAAGAGAGAGTGATTATATAGAGCTTTCCAACGTTGTTGATTATGGCCAGACACAACAGTTATGAACTTGGTCTATAGGTTTATTTATGTCTATATCTGAGTAGAAGCTTCCTGTGTGTGTGTGTGTGTGTGTGTGTGTGTGTGTGTGTGTGTGTACTCACCTAATTGTACTCACCTAATTGTGCTTGCGGGGGTTGAGCTCTGGCTCTTTGGTCCCGCCTCTCAACCGTCAATCAACTGGTGTACAGATTCCTGAGCCTATTGGGCTCTATCATATCTACATTTGAAGTGTGTGTGTGTGTGTGTGTGTGTGTGTGTGTGTGTGTGTGTGTGTGTGTGTGTGTGTGTGAGTGAGAGAGAAAGAGAGAGAGTGAGAGCTTCCCTCCTCCCCCCCCCCCCCCGGAAAAAAAGAGTGGGCCGAGATTCCAATGGGATTTTCAAAAAATGCGAAACCAAAGTCAATTCTGCAGCGACGCGGATGTTGCCGCGTCGCTTGAAAGACAGCGTTGCCAAGGCAATGTTATGAGGCTTAAGCGTCCTCAGCCTCATAACGCGGCCTTCCCTCACGTTTTAATATTCATATACCGAGTTGACCTCCCTAATGCCTTTGTTGAACTGCAAATGCACTATAATGCTCGCGTTTGAAAACCTAACCCATTGATGCCCGCGTTGATGTCCGTCAATGCCAATTGTCAAACTATGATTGGTTGATGTTTGTGTTGACAAACATCAATACTACATCAATACGATATGACACCAGTATTACACCTGGGTGTTGAACTACGACCCATTAGTCACAAATCAAACCAATGTGAGGAACTGATAATTAAAGCAGATTACCATTCGCCAGTTCGTAATGACTTATTTCTGAAAGTGGAAGGGTTGAAGAAGAGGGGAAGTTATGACAAGCGAATTGTGACAAGAGGGGAGAGATGCAGAGGGATGGGAGGTGGGATAGGGATGGGGAGGGGGGGGTAGGTGTTGGGGGGCTTATAAACTATAGAGGTTCTGGTGTATATTTGGCGTAGTAATAGTGCTCCACTATTAGTGATAGTGCTACACTATTAGTGATAGTGCTACACTATTAGTAATAGTGCTACACTATTAGTGATAGTGCTACACTATTAGTGATAGTGCTACACTATTAGTAATAGTGCTACACTATTAGTAATAGTGCTACACTATTAGTGATAGTGCTACACTATTAGTAATTAGCGTCCCAATTCTTCATGCCCCCTCACCTAGACTCGTAGTGGTTGCATTAACTGCCCGGGTGATCTAAAATCATCAATATCATGCTTGAAAATCATCATCTTTTTAGTGTACTGGTTCTGTGATTAAGTTATGGGGTAGTTTAGTGGGGGGGGGGGGTGAATTATTTCCAATATTCCCATTACGGCATATTTCTATTTTGTTAACCCTTAGATCACATAAGGAAGTTGGTGATAACATTATGATAATTATTACAACTATATTAGTATATATTATTTAAATTAGTATTTTTACAAATAATTGGTATATATAATCATTTTGTAATAACAATAATAACTGGACTATTGCTAATAAATTAGTAAGCAAATTATAATTAATTATTAAATAAATTACAAGGGGCCTTCCGCCCACAGCCTGGAACCCCATATTCATTAATTGTAGAAACAAATATTAATTATATCTCCCTTCATAATAATACACACACACACACACACGTAGCTGAGTGATCGGCGCCACATATATAGGGGGAATTATATGGCCCAAATTCCCACTGGAATAAATGAGAACCATAAATTCCCTCAGGGAAAAATAGATTGAAATAACTGTGTGTGGTGTGTGTGTGTGTGTGTGTGGGTGTGTGTGGTGTGTGTGTGTGTGTGTGTTGTGTGAGATGAGCAGATCACCGACGAAGGTAATTAGTAAGGGGGGCGTCGCCTGCACCGTCCTCGCTCAACCGTCGCGTTGAAAGACGACGGTGATTGAAAAGCAACTGTCCCCAGCCAGGTGGATGTACAGTGAAAGGGGGGGGGGGTAGAGGGGGAGGGATGTATGTGGACCCCGGAGAGGTTGATATAGGAGGGCGGGAGGGGGGGGGGGAGGAGGAGACGTCACACATGGAGCAGTAGACCCTTTGCCACGTGACCTCTAATGTTTCTCTCCCTCCTTCCCTTCCTTCTCTTCTCTTCCCTTCCCTTCCTTCCATTCCCTTTCCCTTCCCTTCCATTCCCTTTCCCTTCCCTTCCCTTCCCTTCAACGCAGGCTGAACCCTCCCCCCGCGTCCCACCTCCTCACCTCCTTACACCTTAGCCCTAGACCCCCCCCTCCCCCTTCAAGTCGGAGCACTATGGCTGCAAGGAGACGGGTGTAACACATCCACCAGCTGTAGTCAGCGTCAGCACATCCTGCAAGATCCTAGCTGGGCTACTCGTGTCACCCACTCATCACACAATCCATACTCGCACCCTCCCTCCCTCGTGCACAATCCCTCCCTCCCTCGTGCACAATCCCTCCCTCCCTCGTGCACAATCCCTCCCTCCCTCGTGCACAAGACATCCTTCCTCCAGGTATATAGACATCACTAAACTTACCAAGTGACGTCAAGGTCCGCCGTCAGTCACGTAGGAAATGGATATAATCTGAGGACAGTTTTTTGTTTGGATAATCTCACGTATGATAACTCCGACAAGCGTGTAGTGGTGCCGGGGGAGTACTGTGACGCTAGGGGGGGGTACTGTGACGCTAGGGGGGGGAGGACTGTGACGCTAGGGGGGGGGTTTACTGTGACGCTAGGGGGGGGGAATGTGGACGCTGGGGGGGGGGAGGACTGTGACGGTAGAGGGGGGGGGGACTGTGACGCTGGGGGGAGGACTGTGACGCTAGTGGGGGGGGGAGGACTGTGACGGTAGAGGGGGGGGACTGTGACGCTGGGGGGGAGGACTGTGACGCTAGGGGGGGAGAGGACTGTGACGCTAGGGGGGGGAAGACTGTGACGCTAGGGGGGGAGGACTATGACGCTAGGGGGGGAGGACTGTGACGCTAGGGGGGGGAGGACTGTGACGCTAGGGGGGAGGACTGTGACGCTAGAGGGGGGAGGACTGTGACGCTAGAGGGGGGAGGACTGTGACGCTAGAGGGGGAGGACTGTGACGCTAGGGGGAGGACTGTGACGGTAGGGGGGAGGACTGTGACGCTAGGGGGGGAGGACTGTGACGCTAGGAGAGAGATAAAGAGAGAAGGAAGAGAGGGGGAAAGAGAAAGGAGAGAGAGAGAGAGAGAGAGAGAGAGAGAAAGGAGAGAGAGAAAGGAGAGAGAGAGAGAGAAAGGAGAGAGAGAGAGAGAAAGGAGAGAGAAAGGAGAGAGAGAGAGAGAAAGGAGAGAGAGAGAGAGAAAGGAGAGAGAGAGAAAGGAGAGAGAGAGAGAGAAAGGAGAGAGACAGAGAGAAAGGAGAGAGACAGAGAAAGAGAGAGACAGAGACCCAAGGACTGAGAACAGAGACGAGTTATATTCACCACGAGCGCAAGCCACCACTCCTGGATATACTTGCTGAATATCTGTTTTATTTAAAGTATTTTTTGTTTCTGTATATCCCCAAGTACGCCACGGCTTCCTAGTTGGTCGGGCTGGTAACATTACCGGATGTCAAAACATGCGTCAGCATTATGCCGAGGGCCTGCAAGGTTATGCACAAAAATGCTGGAATTATTAATCCAAACTGTGCGAGGAAAGTTTAAGTATGTGTGTGTGTGTTTGACTGGTTCAAAATATCCTCGGTGTATATTTAACCAAAAGGGAAGGAACCACGTGAATGTGTTTATTGGACGGTGTCTGGAAAGTTTGGTGGAGTTTGTTGTGTGGTGTGGGAGGGAGGGGATGGGATGGGTGGAGGGGGGGGGTAGGGGTGATGGGGATGGGAGGAATCCCCACGGGACATTCAGTTGCTCGTCCCAACCCCTGCACCCACACCTTCTCTTTCTGGTTGCATATCTTCCCTGCTAAGATGCTCATCATTCTCTCTCTCTCGGTACCCGGATACTGAATCAATGCTTGGATAGAAGCGTGAGAGATCAACTTGGTTTAAAGTTAGGTCAAGCCTGAGGCACGGGAGCGAGATGATGAGGGTCAGTTGGTACAGGTCGAGACGCGGCATGGGTCCTTCCTCCGGCCTGATGCATTATCCTTGGTCAGTTGTATAAGTAGGCAGCAGAGGCGAGTGGAAATTGCATTGTCCTTTCATGGTAGAATTGTATCGACAGGGCGATGATGTCTCGCGGGAGGCGCGGTAGATTGGCTGTGGGCGGCAATGGCCTTGTGGGTCCTCTCTTGGTGGTGGGCTGTGGACTCCCTGTAGTGTCTCGTTAGTACTCGGTTGGACTCTCTTGGTCCTCCTTAGTGCTTCGCTGGACTCCTTATTAGTACTCTTGATGGTGGGGTGGACTCTGGAAGTTGGGTTTATATATATATATATATATATATATATAGATATATATATATATATATATATATATATATATATATATATATATATATATATATATATATATATATGTCGTATATGCTCATGTGTGTTTTTTTATAGATAATAAGAAAGTGCTCTTGAAATATATTTTTATTTACACACTATTGGAATATATAATTTACTCTGAAAATGATATATGAACATATTGACATGCAATTTTGTAGGACTTCCATCATGAATTATTTGTGTATATGTTTACAAATGTTTCCAGAGGACTTATGTGAGTTCATGCCATGTTAATTGTGTGACTGGAGCCCGAGAGCATACTAACTGGGTCCTTGTGTTACAGAGCCTGCGCGGTACGTGTGTGGGACCTGCGGCGCCGTGCTGGGGTCAGCCTGGTCGCTGGTGCAGCACGTCCAGTCTTCGCACGGCATCATCATCTACCAGGAGGCACCTGGGTGCACGCCCGTCTCCACGCCCTCCACGCCTCCAGGGATGCCCAGGCCGTCTCATTCCTCTCCACTGGCGTCGGTGTCCTCCACAGCACCCACTGCTTCGGGGCCTCACCCACCGCCACTCCAGCTGCTCGACCCCTCCAAGGTCGACCTCAGCAAAGTGGATATTACAAAAGTGGATCTATCCAAAGTGGATTTGAGTAAAATCACACCACCGGTGACATCGGGCGCGACGCCCCTGCCTCCCCATCCACCTGTGAACGCACCCCTACTCGACCCCAACCACCCCTTCAACCTCCTCCGGGTACCTCTTGGGGACGGACGTGCGCCCTTCCCGCCTGGTCTCACCCCGCCCTTCATGCGGCCGGGACACGACTTTCGCATGGATCAGCTCCTGCAGGAGGGGCTGCGTCTTAATCCCGGACTACTCCCTCCTCCGTTCGAACGGCCGCCCTTTCTTGACCCAGGGCTGGGTGCACCCCGCCATGCGGCGCCCACGCCCTTAACTTCAGGCGGAGATCCCAATCTTGACTTCTACTCTCAGCGACTGAGGCAACTGGCAGGCACGACCAGTCCCACTAGCTCGACCTCGCCCCGCAAGCCGCTCCCAACGCCACCCTTCGCCTCGCCCAATGCACCCACACCCTCTAGTCTAGCGCCCTCCCAGACGCCCACTTCCACCCGTACTGATCCAGCCTTGATGGTGCAGGAGCGACGCTTCAAGTGCATGACCTGCTGCAAGTGCTTCCGGTGGGAGAGCAACCTCGCCATCCACCAGCGGCTCCACACTGGCGAGAAGGACTTCCGCTGCCCCAGGTGCCAAGAAACATTACCCACACCCCAAAAATTACGCCTGCACATGAAGGCGCACAAGAAGAGTTCAAGCACGGAAACTAATTCTCCAGACTCCTCACGCCCTCAGACCGAGGACGATATTGACGAGGAAGAGGAGGAAGAGGAAGAGGAGGAGGATGAGGAAATAGATGACGACGACGACAATCCTTCTATTTGTGATAGCGGGGACGAGGAAGAAGAAGACATTGTAGAAGACGACATCGAAGACGATGAGCCCGAAGATCTCTCCACTACCTCTAAGATTACCTCAGTGCCCACCTCTCAGAGCGTGTCGTCCAGCACCGCAGACAACCACAAGATGACCAGGGGAGACCAACAAAAGTCAGTCGTTGGGGAACTCATGGATAAGTTCGGCCTGACGAGCATCTCTGCCTACAGCGAGGCTTATCATCAGGCACTTAAAGAATCCGGTCGTCTTACCCACCACCACCACCACCACATCATTGGTAAAGACGGTGAGAAAATCCACACGAACGGGATAGAGAAGTTGAAGTTACGGGACGATCTGACGAAAGGGTTAATGGGTAGCCAACCAACGCTAGATGTGGCCCATCAGACGCTTCTGGGCGCGTTCGATAACCCTTACGATGCTCAGAAACGCTTAGTCCAAGCCCAGAGGGATGGAAGCTTATATGCAGGATTATGGCTTCCCAATCTGGCAGGAACGGGTTCACCCAAAGACTTGTTCCCCGGTCTGCCAACGTCAGAAGCGAACTTTTTGCACCGTAAACTGCTGACGGAGGGGCCCATTAAGCCTGGTGATGTTCCGGTGTGTCTGCCCAAACCAGGCACAAGTTCTGCACCAGGGACGCCTCTCTCTCTCGTGCCCCCACCAAAGAAAGAGAGCCGAAGGAATGACACATGCGAATTCTGTGGTAAAGTGTTCAAAAACTGCTCGAATCTAACAGTTCACCGACGGTCTCACACGGGCGAGAAGCCCTACAAGTGCGACCTCTGTAGTTATGCATGTGCGCAAAGTTCAAAGCTAACGCGACACATGAAAACGCACGGCCGCATGGGGAAAGATGTGTACCGCTGTCGGTTTTGTGATATGCCATTTAGTGTCGCCTCCACACTAGAAAAGCATATGCGAAAATGTGTTGTGAATCAAAATAAGAAAGGGTTGTTTCCCCCGCTCTCGGCTGGCACGCACGAGGGACTCGAGTCTTACAAGGGTCTCCACTACACTCCTGTCATCAGTGATGATTCTTCCAAATCTGGAAGTTTGTTTTCCCCGCATTTCAACGCCGCTGCGGCTGCTAACACCTCCAATGATGACACCGGGGACTCCTCAAATCTGTCGGGCCCTGGGTCTTGAGATTGGGCCCCCATGGTAGCGTCCCAACTGCCGCCGCCAGGGACCCAAGGGCTTGCTCCTCCAACTTTGGGATTTCCTAGGGCGGCCACTCACCACTGGGTGGCATCTGGCCGCCCACCTCCTCCGCTTTTGCTGAGGGGGGTGTCTGGCCCTTTGGCTCCCACGGCGCCGCCCTGGACGTCTCCAGTGGCACCGCGGCCTCCCGGGACACCGCCCCGAGCCCCGGCACCGCCCACCTGACCAGCGTCGGCGGCAGCAGCAGCAGCAGGATGGGTGGCGTAGCCCGCACATTCCCCACACCTCGCGTCACGTGACTTCCCAGTGAGAGGGCGCCCGTCCCACCCCCGTGCGACAGTGGGCGCCTCAACATGCTAGTCCTGTGTGCTGTGCGGTGGTGTCAGCAGCAGCACGCCCACACTCGGCCCATTGTTCCTATTGATGTTATGTGTTGTGTAGTGTATGTTGTCCTACCTTGGCTGGTCACAACAGTGGCGGCCGGTGTACTAGCCCCCAGGAGTGCCAGTGCCAACAGCGGCTGACCCGCACCAATGCCACCAATAGCTAACCCGCACCAGTGACACAGCAGTCAAATCAACACGACAACCACAAGGAGCCTAAAAAAAAACCACTCCATTCTTGAACTTCCTCTCCAAGAGTTATGGAAAATGACCCACTAATCTTAATTACATCACATTGAAAGCTAAACGGCGCAACTAAGTTATCCATTTGAACTTATATTCACATTCTTATTGCTCAAAACTTATTTAGTGGCTGAAGCATCAGCGTGATGAAACAGATCTGTCGTCCGCTGTGGGTGGAATAAGGTCCAGATGACGTTTCCAGACGTGTTACTTCCAGATCAATATTTGATTTTGAGTTGTCTTATGGTGGGTCGAGCAAGTTTGTCGAGTTGCTGTAGACAGAGAGAAAACAAATTACAGGAGCTATTTCCTGCAAAGATGGCTACCCCCCTTTCACCTCAGGGAAACCTGGACTGTTTACTTGGGTGGTTGTCGACTGAACGATCAGAATCAAAAGGACGTGTCCTGGACCACAGAGTCAAACATGTGACAATATTAGACCAGTGTGAAGTGAGCGTGTGGACGGTTCGACGATCAACACTGGCACTTCCTCCTCCTGTAGTATTGACTTCATGAGTTGTCACTAAAAATCTGTTTGTCGTGTCTTTGTATCCGTTTGTCTTTCCAATTGAGTCTTCGACAGATTTATGCATAAATAATGGCTGCAATTCATTTTTTTTTGGTATGTGCAGTTGAATATAGTAAGGCACTGCTAAATTCTTAGGATCAAAAGACAACTCTCCTTCACTGTTCAGACGTCTGCCTCACAGCAGTGCCTGGCTCATCCACGCACCTGTTTATTCTAAATCAGACATGTGTCTACTGGTGTAATACCTCTCTATAATTAGCATATACAACTATTTAAACCATGCTGTTATCTGTCCAGACTAAATATTATTTTCTGAATGAATCAAACATGTATAACAAATTTTTCAAGCACACACTCATCCCCCCTCCCTCCACCCCCTTTCCTTCCACACATACACACACACACACACACACACACACACACACCACACACACACACACACACACACACACACACACACACCCACACACACACACACCCACACACACACATGATTACCCCCGTTTTGAACCCCACACACCTGTTGCAGTCCAGACAGCCATCGAACACATTGGCGCCATCCGAACACACACACACGTGTCATTATAACGACCGGATCTGTGTATAACGACCAATGAAATAGAACGGATCATTTGCTCAGGCTAATTGCTCAACCTAAAATTGTATTTGTTAATGATTTACAAAGCACATGAACAAAATTTTATAATTGTTATATTTTTTTGGATTTCGTTTTAGTATTGAATTTGAGATTTCTTTGCTAAAAATGTTGGTTGAGCGAGGGGTGACTTGAGCAAACATAGCACCGACAAACATTTGTATTAAGGCCGACACACCCGTGTCACGTAAACCAAAAATGAGACCTTAAGCTACATGTTGCTAACGACTCTCTTGTCCACAGTTTTCTCAGGAGATACCGACCCACAATACAGGAGGGCAGACCTGCTGCTTTGGCTTATTTACAAACTCATAGGCTGCTAGGTGACCTTGCTAGGCGGTCTAGTCCTAGTTAGATGGCACAGCCGTGCTAAGTGCGGTAGCTTGTTGAGTTTAGAATACACTGAAAGGTATTCAGAGTCAGTAATGTCAATTCCATTCAAAATCATACCGAAAAAAGCCACGTAAAGCCATATGATATATTATATATATATAAATATATATATTATATATATATATATATATATATATATATAACTGAAAACTCAACCCAGAAGTGACTCGAACCCATACTCCCAGAAGCAACGCATCTGGTATGTACAAGACGCCTTAATCCACTTGACCATCACGACCGGACAAAATGAGGTGATAGCCGAGGCTATTTGAACCACCCCACCGCCGGCACTCGGATAGTTATCTTGGGCATAGCATTTTACCAAATCACCTCATTCTTTGGGGCAACACGTGAGGAACACAAATGCGAACAAGCCTGATGGTCCCCAGGACATATGCAACTGAAAACTCACACCCCAGAAGTGACTCGAACCCATACTCCCAGAAGCAACGCATCTGGTATGTACAAGACGCCTTAATCCACTTGACCATCACGACCGGACAAAATGAGGTGATAGCCGAGGCTATTTGAACCAACCCACCGCCGGCACTCGGATAGTTATCTTGGGCATAGCATTTTACCAAATCACCTCAAGATTTACCAAATCAATTGGTAAAATGCTATGCCCAAGATAACTATCCGAGTGCCGGCGGTGGGGTGGTTCAAATAGCTCGGCTATCACCTCATTTTGTCCGGTCGTGATGGTCAAGTGGATTAAGGCGTCTTGTACATACCAGATGCGTTGCTTTTGGGAGTATGGGTTCGAGTCACTTCTGGGGTGTGAGTTTTCAGTTGCATATGTCCTGGGGACCATTCAGGCTTGTTCGCATTGTGTTCCTCACGTGTTGCCCCAAAGAATGAGGTGATTTGGTAAAATGCTATGCCCAAGATAACTATCCGAGTGCCGGCGGTGGGGTGGTTCAAATAGCCTCGGCTATCACCTCATTTTGTCCGGTCGTGATGGTCAAGTGGATTAAGGCGTCTTGTACATACCAGATGCGTTGCTTCTGGGAGTATGGGTTCGAGTCACTTCTGGGCCAAGTTTTCCTGAATTAATATATTTACTATAATTTTTTTCTTATGAAATGATAAAGCAACCCTTTTCTCTATGTATGAGGTCAATTTTTTTTTATTGGAGTTAAAATTAACGTAGATATATGACCGAACCTAACCAACCCTACCTAACCTAACCTAACCTATATTTATATGTAGGTTAGGTTAGGTAGCCAAAAAAAGCTAGGTTAGGTTAGGTTAGGTAGGTTAGGTAGACGAAAAAACATTAATGCATGAAAACTTGGCTTATTAGGCAAATCGGGCCTTGAATAGTAGGCTGAGAAGTGCGTTCTGGCTATTAGGTACGACATATATATATATATATATATATATATATATATATATATATATATATATTATATATATATATATATATATATATATATATATATATATATATATGATCTGCAAGAACTGCAGATGTTGACCACAGTCGGGTTTTAGAAAACATCTGACATATATGTAACCACGTGTTCCGACTTGGTATTTAGTGTTGGGCAAACGAGCTGTATCGATTCTTTTCTCACGTTTCAGTCGCCAACTTTTGTAGTTTCTTTTTTTTTTTTGGTTTCAATCTTTCGCATTTTGCAGTATGTTTCGGGAAAGTTCTCATTAGTGGCGAGCCCGCTGGATCAGCGAAGCCTTCAGCACAAAGAAGTCATCTTGTGTGTGTGTGTATCTCCTCGTCAGCGGTCAATTCAGTATTATCTTATTTTTTTACTTTTCTAATATTTGCAATATTTTTTTTTTTTTTTAATTTTTGTTGCTTTGTGCATTGCGTTTGTTTCGTGACTTATTAAGTTATGCGTATGATGTACACTTACGTCTGTTCCTCTTTGTTTTGGCTACATTCCTTTATCGTTTACTTCAATCATTTAAGTTATTTTTGGATACTTCTAAGATTCCATATTTCGTTTTTCTTTCCAGTTTTCACATTTCAGTTCCTCCAGGAATCTTGACTTGTAATTAAAACTTTCTTTTTTTTCGTTCTTCATATAGAAAGTTAGTATGTGCCATATTAGGAAGACTCTCACACTTGCCAGTATTTGGAACCAGAGAGAGGCTATTTTTTTCTCCTCTAAAACTAATCTAAATAAAGTAGGTTTCCGAATGTGCTTCGTTACGCTTAAGTGCGGCGTATTGAGTTGGGGGTCAGCTGCGTAAGCTCTCCTTGCTTCTGTATTTATCTTCTCTGTAATTTATTCATTACGAATGCATCAGTGTTCGGGCTTTAATTATCAGTTTAAAAAGTGGGCGTCGGGCTCTTCATTTTTAATTATATATATTATATATATATATATATATATATATATATATATATATATATATATATATATATATATATATATATATATATATATATTATAGGTTTCAGGCGTGTTGTATGTTACGTGTTGGAGGCTTGTCACTATATTGGTTGCAGAAGCTACATTAGCGTAAGCTTCGAGCCTTCCGTAAGCTTAATCCAGTTGCTTCACGTTTTGACTGCAAACCTCTTGGGGGATCACTCTGGGTTGCAAGCACTGGACAGCGTGTCATAATGCAGGCTTCTCAGCATCTTCATGCAGTGGGCCCGAGGCTGTCCATAATAAAACCAAAGATAACGACTAAAATGCACTCTAATTAAGACGCCGACTCTACGGTGGTGGCGGCCGCCGTCAGGGTTGCATTTTGGACCAGTTCTGTCTTGTAAATAGTGTACATAAGATAGTTTATATTTGTATATGTAATAATAGAATATAACTGATATGAACTTTTATCCCAAAATTTGTACAATCAATGGTTATGCCGACACCTCTACAAAAGCCCCCCCTCCTCCCCTCTCCCCCTCTCCATTTCTGCACCAAATAGATTTTTTTTAATGTGTTTTTTTTATTGAGTTTTGAATGTTATATATTTTTTTTATTGTACCCATTTTTGGAAGATCAGTTGCTAAGATCTTTTGGTAATAGATCACAACTGCACCATATATTTAAATGGTACCCAGTGGTATTGTTGCATCAGCCCTCGAACCCTAATCCAGTAAGGTTATTTTATCTTTGTTGTGAATAGGAAAACCACCTGTAATGGCTTAGGGGTCTGAGGGCGGTTGCTGCTTGATACAGCAGCTGTGGTAGTAGGCTGAGCTCAAACACGTGACTCAAGTACGTGACTGGGCTCAAACACTTCTCTTTTTTTTTTTTTGTACTCAGACGCGTGCCTGTACGTGATTGGGTCCCAAGCACCTGCCTCTGTATGTACACATCGCCACTGGCCACAAGGTTGACTCGACAGGGTAAGGCTGAACTGCGGGTGCTGCTTCCTGAGACTTGCAGCCTTAGGTACAGGGACAGGCTGGCAAGGTGGACAGGCTGGCAAGGTGGACAGGTACTTGGCTGACTGGCTGAAGACATAGTAAATAAAGGCTTCGAATGGGTTGGATAGGGCTCTGTCAGAGCCTATATTTGACTAAGTGGGCAGACAGTCAGCCGAGTCAAAGAGCCATTTGGTTAAATAATATCCTGCCGAGTGGTCCATCGACTTGACCGAAACATGACAAAATGCTGTCAAATGACTTAGTAATGTCAACCAAGACATTATTAAGTGTTCAGGCACATTGTTAAGATGTCAAGGCAATTGGTTGAGTATTCAGACATCCAGTTAAGGTCATAGCCACTTGTTCGAGTGGTTTAGGCCCTAGGACGAGTATATAACCTCTCGTCTAAGGTCATAGACTTTCGACAAACTGGCAAATCTCAGGGCTGAGAGATTGAGAGAGCTGAATGTCCTCCTAGTTAACCAAGTTAAGACATTCGGCTAAGATAGATAGACTCGGCAGGGTGAGCTACCAACTTTTAACCCTTATACCCTCCTGTCACACGGGCGTCACCCGCTCCAGACCACTGTTCTAAACATCTGTGTTCTGTTACTCTTGAATTCGAGGTCAACCCCTTGTTGATCGTATGCACAGTTTTATTATCATTTAAGGTAGTGAAACGAAATAAATAAAAGATCTTTGTTAAAAAAAATAAAAACAACTTGACTGTACCGAATGCTGATTTTTATTAATGTTGTTTAAAAAAAAAAAGATAAAAAAAAATTTATTGTGAAGCAGACTACTCCTCCTTCTTAGTGTCATTAGCGAAAGACTTGAGACAATTTCCTTTGGCGTTCATCAATTGCTTTACCCGAGTGACTACAAAGTGCTTGTATCTGCTCTGTCTATGTGAACCTGGGCGCGGGGGGATGGGGGGGGGGCAGCTTCGCGAGATGGGGTTCAGAGAAAAACTCCATTTAAGTGAGAGAGAGAAAAAAGAATATTAACGAGTGATTTAGACCTGGAGTGGAATCGAACCCCGTCTCCCGGCCGCCACCATCCCACGGGAAAGGGAGGGGGGGGAAGGGGGATAGTATTCTCTACGGCACAAAAGGAAATTATCATCAATTATCGACAATTTTATTTGGTTTTGTTACACTTTTTTTTTTCGACACTTGTTATTATCTCATGACAAAAAAATAAAGTATCCCGCGTGTAAACATGCTTTTTTCATCGATGGTGCAACCAATTCAAAAACAAAAACACAGGTAAAGGAATAAATGCATCAATTGTTTTTTTTTTTTCTGGTAGGATTCAGTCGCTCGTTCCTCTGCCTCCGATAGTAACTTGTTTCTTTAAAAACATCCCAGCAACTATTTCAGCCAAAAATAAATAAATAAATATACATTTTATATATATATCTATATATATATATATATATATATATATATATATATATATATATATATATATATATATATATATATATATATATATATAATCTCACTTGTGAAGGACAGCGGTGGAGGACTTGTGCACTACCCATCCTTTCATCTGTATTTATTAGAGTATCATTGGCGTGAGAAAGGAAAAAAAACATCTTTGTACATGTAGAGTTGAATAAATGTATTTATCTTCGTCTTTGATTGTTTTTGTGGTGATCCTTTCTGTGAGTGTGTCAAAATCCAGATGATGAGGATGATGATGATTTAATTATGATGATGATGATGATGATGAGGATGAG